AGATCAACATTAAGGTGAATCAACAATAGATGAATAAAAGTTCCAAATTATGAGACGAGATTAGGCCATCATTCTTAAGATGACCAGCAATGAGGAAACATTAAAGGACTTAGATTTATACATATGGAATAAGCAGTGAGACAATAACCTAGAGTTGGGTACCAGACATCGGTAATAATAACTGATGTAAGTGTTATGATATAGTATGACCTACCTAGAAGCATTAAATCCATAAGTATAGATAATCAAGGCTATGAAGCATGATATAGCAATAGTCGTAAGTTCGACACAGTACTATGCGAAGAACTTCTATATACCTATAGATGCCCAGAGGGACAGCTTGTCATAGTTCTGTATATGTTCACACAGTGAGGCCTAGAGATTGGCTAAAAGATGGAGGAAAAATTAGAGAAGAGTCGGTGCACATACAGGGATAGAGTCGTACAGGCTATATGACAGAAGGTAGCAACAGTAACGAGATTGGACGAATTTCGACCACAAGTCGTGTTGCGAGAAAGAGGCCTAAAGGGGGGAATGCCCTTGGCTTTTGATTTATTCACAAAATAGTTGCCTAGATGTCAAGGACAGTACTAAAGTATTCGTAAGAGCTATAGGTTATAAGACTGATAAGAGTATCGGTCAACATTCGAGGACGAATGTTCCAAAGGGGGGAATGATTTTACACCCCATATTTTCGTGCATAAGAGTACGTCGTAAGTCAATTTATATAAGCTCAGAAATGATATTATCTTTGAAAGTAAATAAAGTAAGTTAATCATGTTAACTTGGAGGTTATAAATATTTAAGATAATGAACTGCAAGTAATAAGAGGGTTGGAAGGCTTAGAAGCTAAACGAATTGAAGAAAATATGTTTCGTCGAAAGTCGACAAGTTGGGAATGTTATAACATGTACTTTTCGGGAGAGACTAGGGTGCTCAAAATTATAAGGAGGTTATATTATGAGTTATTTTAGTATTATGATAGTCATGTGTTATGTTTTTAAGTCAAGCGAGTTGTGGAACAAAAGTTGGCATAGATCATCACAAGTTACATTCATAAATATGTTGAACATTAGGTCAAATGTAGCTGAGCGTTTCTCCCAATATACTTGTAAGTACGAAATAATATACCTACAAAATTGAAGATCTACGAGTTTAGTTTCCAGCGAATTAAACCGTTAATTGATACAACATTGGAGTAGATAAATATTCTTATTTTTGCGAGACTGCGCAGAATGGTAGGTGACAAGTAGGTGCATCACCTACTTGCCAAAAGGAGAGGCCTCAATTAAAAGCTCCAAAAGTCGTCCAAGAGGGGACTTTTAAGAACTTATTAACTCATTTATTTCAATCATTTCTCATACCAAAAAAATCAGATTGAACCTCTGGAACTCCTCCCAAAAAATCCCACACAAACCCTAGGTAATTTCGGGTGATACGATGTGATTTTAGTGGCGAAAACCTCGGACAACTTGCTAGTTTCTCTTTCTCCTTCTTGTAGCTACATCGGGGGACTGATTTTGGATGAATAAGGACTAGGTTTCATGGGTTCTAATCAGTCCAAAGTAAATTTATGCTTCTCCTTCCATTATCTATGCTTGTACGAGTTGTAACTCGATCGTAAAGACTAGACCTAGCGAGTTTCGAAAGAGTGGTATGCTATTTGTTGTGTCGACACTGATGGCTTGTTTATAGTATAAGATAATTAATTATGTACTGTTAGTTGTTGTTACACCCCATGTTTTTGTATGTGAAAGTACACCATAAGTAAATTGATAGAAGCTTGGAAATGAGACGGTACATCCCGCATTTTCGTATGTTAAATATTTCGTCGTAAGCTAATCGACGTAAGTTCGAGAATGAGTTTATTTTGAGATTATAAGAATTATGCTATTTCAAACAAGTGATGAGTAAATTCGTGAAGGTGAGAGGGTAAACAAATCAAAGAAAATAAATTTTCGTCAAAGTTTATCATATTGGGATAAAATATGGCCCGAGCTAACATACCCGGTATTTATGGACTAGTGTCATACAAGGTACCACATAACCATGATAGTGAGGTGTATAAGGTATGTTAAAAGTGAGTAATATTTTAAGTAATTTGAGATAATTCTTAATTATGTGGTTAATCGGATAATTATTAATTTTAGTGGGAGATTAACTATTAATTAAGATGATTGGTGTTTAATTATTGGATAAGGATATCATCCTTAACGCGGCAGCAAGCCACCCAAATATATATATGACTCTTAAGTCATTATTGAGTAGGTGGCAAGACTAAAGGTAAAGGAATGTGGTTAAGCCACCATTCCATATTTAAAACATCTCCAACTTAAGAATATGAAAGCAACATAAGTCATTATCTTGAGAATCATGAAAGCAACGTATTAGTCATTATCTTAAGAATCATGAAAGCAATGTATTAGTTTTAATCTCCATGGACCAGCAACGTTGGATGCTAAGTATGCTAATGAATTTTTCCCTACTTCGATCCGTCGTTACGTGTTTTCGCAAAAGACGTATGTTAGAGAAAATGTCAAGAGAATCGGTTCAGGTATGTTAAGGCTATCCCTTCTTTCTTTTTGGCATGATCCAAATGATACAGATAAAACGAGCAAAATACACAACTTTCATTAATGACTTTATTCATAGAAATACTAGAAGTGTTTATATTCTTGATTCTCCATGTGAATTATTATTATATCCTATGTTCATGGGTCTCAGAAAAATACGTATTTGATAAAGTTTATCTGAAAGGCATATTGATTTTATGATATTCCGAGAAATCTTAAGTAACGTATTTCTTATGCATTTCATGCATTTATACATGTATATTGACCCATGACCAGATGGCGTTATATACACGTATATTATATGTATATGGAATATGGGAGAAGGTTATGGGGTTATATACGCACCACCACCTGATCAGCTGGTATACGTTGATGATTTGCCCACAGTGGCCGAAATGATATGATGGGATGCCCTCAGAGGCTTGATGATGTTATGAACACATATACCTATGCATGGTATGACATTCACAGAGCTATGCAGACGTACATGTCGAGTCCTTTACTCCATGTTTCTCTCATGTCTATTATTTACTGATTTTCATTCCTTACATACTCGGTACATTATTTGTACTGACGTCCCTTTTGCTTGGGGACACTGCGTTTCATGACCGCAGGTCTCGATAGACAGGTCGAGAATCCTCCAAGTAGGCGATCAGCTTAGCGGAAGATGTTGGTGCACTCCATTTGCTCCGGAGTTGCTTGTTTGGTCAGTATGATTTAGATGTGTATTATTTGGTATGGCGGGGCTCTATCCCGACATTTATGACAATTATATATTCGTAGAGGCTTGTATACAGATGTCATGTACGTAAATGATTGTATGGCCTTGTCGGCCTATATTCAGTGTACGAGTAGTTATTTTGGTCTTAGAGGCCCATATGTCTTATGTATAAGTTGGTATTACATATTGTATTCTACCTATCTCACGGAAGCCTCTCCGGCTCAGTTATCTATGATAGTATGACGGATAAATGTGAGGTCTTCAGCAAAACATATGTGTACCTTACGTGTAAGCTTCTTGATAAGGAGTCTTAAGGCAAGAATATCTATCCACCTCTATGGTGAAAGGCAATAAGAGATTCAGAAGATAGATACAAGCTTCAACAAGTAAAAGAAGCAAGATGAGAAGGGTACGAGGTACCCAGTTAATGAAGATTATCGGTATTTTCAACTCCGGCAGAAAAATATAAGCATTATGACTTACCTTCAACAGTAATAGATGTATGTAGAATTGGCCACACCCATCTCAGTTATACCCTATTGGGGGGTAACATGTGTAATTTAAGAAAAGGATATGATATTAGAATCCAGCTGGAGTTAGAGTAACCCAAAATGGTAAATAAATTATTTGTGTTAGTTGATATTTTCGAAAGATATTATAAAAGTGCTAATAGATCTCCCTGTGAGGCACCCAGATGGTGCACTCTAGAATATTACAATTAGATATGAGTATTAGCATGAAAAAAAAAATCAGAAGATAGGCACGGAAATCCTGGAAGGGATAAACATTACCTTAGTGTGGCTCGCGTCCCTAGTATAGCTAGAACATTAAGCAATCCGAAGAGCCACTGGATGGAGAAAAGGGGAGCTAAAAGCAAAAGAATATCTTGTTCGAGTTTTCAGAATAAAGTGAAAGACATAAATGTTAGCGGGAAATAAGAAAAGAGTTAATGAAGCATTATGAGTAAGATATGATACAGGGATGACAATGGTAGATAAAAAAGATGACAGTATTATAGAGTCTATAGTCAATTGAAGAAAAAGATGAGAGGTGACAGGTCTTGAGACAACAAAAGAGTATAGGCCATAAAGTCGTATCCTCATTTCAAGAAATAAGTTCGTGACTCCAACGCGACTACCAGAAGGAAAAGTTTGACCCCAGAATAATAGAAATCAGTATGGGCTAGTGAACAAGATAAACTAAACATGAATTAGGGACTGAGTGATTGGATAATAGTCAACATCATGAGAATTTCAGATTTCCACTACAAGAAAGTGTGAAAAATGCAATATTTTTTTTGTTGCCATATATTGAATATTGTTGCGAAAAGTACTTTTGACAACAACAAAAAAGTTATTGCATGCCGTTGCAATAAATGTCGATGGAAAAAGTTTTTGCAACAACAAAACTTGTCATTGCCAAAAGCTGACTTAACGCAACAAGAAATATTATTGCCATAAATTATATTTTGATTATATACTTGTGGCTTATAAAAATATTTAGCAACAAAAATTATTGTTGCGATAAATTATTATTATTTTCGCAACAATACTACTTGTGGCAAAAAAATGGCAGGAGGGTAGTTAATAATCTGTTATAAAGGCTTTTCGCAACAAGTATTGTTGTGGGCACAAATCACTTTTTGCCAACAATATTATATTTTTTGTTGTATAGCTAGCAATAATAAATGTGTAGTTGCTACATACACAAATCACATTTTCTTTTAAACTATCACAAATATATATAAAAATTAATATATGATATATATTTGTAAAGGTCAATACAACTGATGCACTAAGTATTTACATACATTCAAAAACTAAATACTACTAAAACACATGTTCTTACTTAAAAATAAAAACAAGAGCACCTACAGGGTCATAATTTCTAATCTAATAACAACCCAAAAGTAAATCTTCTTCTAATAGCTTGAGCATTAGATGAATCATATTGTCAGTTATGTTGGTTTATTCATCCTCATCCTGCAAAAGAAGATAAATTATAATTATATTTTTTATAAAAGAAAATTATAAAGTACACAAGTACAGATCAAAAAAAGAAAAGTTTGGGCACCAATGAATAATATAAAAAGATTCTTATAGCCAAAGCTAAAGCTAAAAAATTATCAAATAAAAACTTGCACCATGTAACATAAAAGAGGAAAGCTAACTACCTACTATAGAAATCCTGCCATGTAATATATATGGTTGTTAGACTTGTAGTGGCCCAAATATTCGAGGGCCTGACTAATCAATTTTTCAAGTATCAGGACCAGGACAAATAACAATTTCAAGTAACTTTTAAGGCACTCTAATTTTTTTTCTTTATCAAACTATAAACAAAACCACGCTCTTTCTCTGTTGTAGTGATTATAATGCATAATTGTAATTTGTAAAGGTTGGGGGACTGTTCATAAAATAATATCGTTATACCCTATTGTATTTCTATTTAACTTAGCGTCCATTATTGTGCATCTCACATAAAAGAGCACAGAAAGCATAACATGTTATAGTCATAATATCTCAATTTGGTAATTTTGAACTCAAATGATAGAGAACTAAATAAATTGTAACTGAAAACTATAATACAAACATGATATTGAATAATATCAACCAACGAATTTATTTTTACAAGAGTTAGACAAAGTTTCTTACCGTGATGTTATCCATAAGTCTTGAACGACTTGCCTCATTTGAACCACTTAAATTAGAAATAATGTTGAGAATTCCACCAGAAACTCAATTCAATTAAACATAATAAAACTACATAGCTTAATTTGTCGTACAAATCAGTGGAAAGGAATGATATGGGAACGAGTCAGAAACATAAATAGTGATAGCGACAAAAGTAATTAATCAGTACAGGCATGCCCTGTGGTGTTATTTTATGGATCATATGTAAGTAATAAGTTATCATTTACTAGTTTAGTACATGAGTGATTTTTACTTTACAAGTATGTATGCTGAACACTTATTTGCAATCAATTCTAGAGCTATGCTTCAATTAGATATTATTTATTTTCTTGTGTTTAGAGCAATGCTAGCAACATGCTACCACTTTTATTGTTACAGAAATATTCTTAGGATGAAAAGTAAGTAATGAAATACCTCAGTACTTAATATATGGGATGCTAGTGCCATCATGCTCTCTTTTAACAATTTTTGGTCAAGCACCATGGCTTCTCGATTTTTCCACACCTCCTCAAGCTGTTTCTGTACTTTTTTTAGCTGGCATTCTACACTCTCTTATTTACGACGTTCTTCTTCTGCCTCTTTTTGTTGTGCTTGCAGTTTCTCTAGAATTCCATTCATGGATCTCCTACTTGTTGACTTAACTCCCGATCCTTGACCCCGACAATAACTTGACGTTTCTCCAACAACTTTCACAAATGCAGCATTAACAATCGGGTCCAAATCGGTATCCTCTTCAATTTCTTGGATTTGTTCAGCAATATATTCGTTCACCTTATCCTACAAAATTTTTTACAGGCTTTAACCTTCAATATTTATTTCTATAAATTCATATTATAGGAATAAAGAAAAAAGTGTCACACGTATATTTAATTCAGCAGAGGCATCATTAACCCAATGTTCGTTCTTCATGTGAGTCAATTCCCAAAGTTTCTGCAAGTTTGGCTCTTTTTCAGTGTTTTTATTTCTCTACCAAAACAAATAAAATTATATTATTAAATCAAGAATAACCAAAACTCGTAAAAATAAAGACATATGTTACATGTTCAAAAGATATTGCCTGGAATAATTTTCTGCCGCAAATATGATTCATTTCTTGATTTGCCTTATTGGTTTTGTTTCGCTCACCCATTCTTTGCATTGAGTTTGAGTCCTTAAACATAACAGAAAAGATTACTATTTAAAAAGAATTTTATCTGCTATACAAGCAAGAATTTCGGGTAGCAAACAAGTGGTCCTAGGTCAGAGTTCACCAATATCCAAGCATCTGTAGCACTAGACATATCCTTATCAATCCTCTGGGTTAACTTCTCATGAAATTGGTATTTAAAACTAGAAGTGTGGAATTATTGACCTTCAATTTAATCTTATATTGCCGAATTCTTCGAGGAAACAATATTTCACATAAATTTCTGGTTGACACCATGGTTTATTTCTGTTTCCAATTTTCCCTCACAAAGTCATAGAATTGAATGGTAAGAAACATAAAATTGAACTGATTACATGAAAGGATAAGTTATTCAACATATCTTTTATTTACTTTTTATCTAATGAGAGATATTTATACAATCAAATTATTTATTAAATTAAAAAGGATAAGTATCTACACTAAGCATAAATTGATAACCTCGAAATGATGGCCTTTGGAAATTGATCAAATTATATGTTTGAAAAATCTCTTTGCAACTTATAGTTTTACCTATCAAATATTCACGAATAACAGAGAAAAATTTTCGTGTTCAGTACTAGATTCATTCTGTTATTATGCAGAGAACATGTATAAAAACGTTAGCAGAAGATGAATTGAAAAAAAGGAACAACAAACTAGACAACAATAAAAGAAAAACCTATGCAAAGTTTCTTTCTGTAGCATAAGGAATTAGAGGAGAAAACATTGCAAATCCTTCTCTGGCATAGAAAATTTTAAGATACCTATACCCATTAAGTACTTCAATGATAAAAGACAATCACAAACATTGGTACTTCCATAATTTAGTGAAGCAATCGGGTAAAGCAATTAAAGATTGAATTCTTACCGGTTCTTCTCCGATCAGCCACAACACGAAACAAAGAGGACGCAGCGGGGGAGGAGCTCTTTCAAGTAGAACTGATAAGAAAAACCCTAGCCAGAATGGTTATTAGTGAGTGGGCTAAAAAACCGGAAAAAGTGAAAAGGTTTGCCGCGTTCGATTTTGGCGGAAAATCAAAGTTTTAGGCCACAACCAACGTATGTCAAAATAATGTTTATTTCCAATAAAAAAACTTTATTGTTGCCAATTCTATTTATAATTTAACTTTATTATGTTAAAAGTTTTATTTTTTGCAACAACTAAAATTAGTTGTTGCCATTTATTAAAATTCGGCAACAATACTGTAGTTGTTGCTAGAACATTTTAAAAATTTTAAAGTTTATTATCTAAACCATAGAATATGGCAACAAAATTAACATATTTGGCAACAAAAAAATGTTGTTGCCAAAATATCTATGCTATATCAACAATTTTATCGAGTTGTTGCCATTTATCCATTTAAGCCAACAATATTTCAATTGTTGCTAAAACGTTGTTGCAAATTCCATACTTTCTTGTGTTGTTTGTTCCGGCGATAATAGAATGGACGAGAGAAGAATACCCTTTAAAGGTCATTTAGGAAGACGCTTCCCAAAAGCAAGCAAGGCGAGCAAAGTTAAGCTTAAGGGGATGTATGTGCCAGTTATACTAAGTGTCACTCTCACGAATAAGGAAATCTGTTATCCTTGGTACAGAAGGATTACTGCGAGGCGAGTAAGGATCATTGATGATGTGAAAAGACGCCAAAGATGAAGAGTTAAAACATCTATAGGTAGATCGTCGTAGCACTAAATTTTAGTACTCCCCTAAAGGGGGGAATATGGAGTAATGTGGCATGAAATCAGAATTAAATGGTTGTAGTAATTATGGAATGGTAAAGGAAGAATGCGGGAAAAAAATAAAAAAGGAATGAGCGTGCACTTACCCAAGTCCTACAGATATGCTACGATTACAGAACATTATGCAAGCATGATGTCAAGTAGAGAAAGTAAGGGTTCCTGCCCGAGATGTTATTGATAGAGAAGGAGCTAGTGCGAGACCTAAGTTAAGACAAAGGAAATAACCCAAGAATGATTACGCGGAATGTTGATATGAGAATGGGCCAAAGAATAGTTAGCAGTTGATTCAGGAAGAGCCTAGTTATGGCTAAACAAGAGGATACATGCAAATCAACAGATCGTGTAAGATAAACATAGTGAACCCTAATATGGAAAATTCAGTCTCGCAGATATGACATTGTAATACTTAAGAAATATTCAGATAGGAGTCGGGGTAGTTAAAGGTACCGTATGAATGCTATGAAAATAAAAGATAGTCTCACTGGGAAAACAGTCAAAACTTCAGTTCAGGAGCAACCCTACAAGCACAAGGGCGTGGAAAAAAGTAACTACGGATCATTATAGGCAAGGAAGAACATCAAAAATTCCGTCAAGTATACGATGTAATAAGCTCGCAGCTTCACAAGAGTCAGAAGGTCTTCCCTAAGTACTACAATAAAAGACTAGCTGAGAAAATAAGGAAGAAAGTTTCGACCTAAGCACAGTGACCTAAAGAGGAAATGGTCATGTAAAAACAGTCTCACTACAACATTGTATGCACTCCATAAGAAAGTGGCACCTACCATGTCTAAGGAATGGGAAGAAAAATCAAAAGTAATATTTGAGACCATGTGAGTTGCACAAAAATTCCGGCATGCGTGGGAACTAAGATAAGTTAAGTATACACGCAACAGAGGGGCAGAAAGACCAGTAAAAGTAATAGCTTACGTTTAAAGGAAGCTCAAAGGGAACAAAAGGGATTATGCACTTAAGACTTTAGAGTGAAATCCATGCACCATATATGTTGACATTCATACAGCCGTAGAAGACTCCGGTATAAGTTAAAAGAAAGAATTAAGCCTAGGGCATAGACAAAGAATTGAATTATCAGAAGATTGTATCATGGATATTCCATAGCGCCCATGAAAGGCTAAAGTAATAACTAATACCGTGAGCCACAGATCAGAAGATAGCTTAAGCCTACATAAAGGCTGAACAGAAGGAAGAGGAAACTAAAGAGTTACAACAGCGAAGTAAATCAGGAGTCTGATTATTGGACCCAGAAAATTATAGAAATCGTGATTGAGAACATTACAGAATCGCTCTTAATATCATAGGTACAAGAGAGATAGTATAGTAGCCATATTCTATAATGGTCTACGATAAAGTCAGTTAGAAAAGTACCAGCCTCATAAGAAGTCAAATGAGGCTCCCACCGGAGTGTGTATGCACCAGAGGTGCAAGTATTATAATAGAGCTTCAAGTCGCGGATGTGAATTATACCTATATTGAAGGGAGGTCATGAAAGAGATAGAAGATGTGATGCGAGAATTTAAGGTAAGTAAGGTAAAGGTGAACAACGTACGAGATACTCAAATTCAGAAGATCATGAATATTCAATACTTCGGATAGAAGGCTAGAAGCGCTGGGATTCAGTATCCAGGAATGATAGTGGCGTCGTCAGTGGCATATATCTTCCAGCCTATGGTTTCTAGGTACCGAGAGGCCTAGTTAAGAGAGTAAAGAAGAGGTTTAGACGATGTGATGTCTCATTTGAAGTTCCAAAATAACACAAGGAAATCTATAGTGCAAGCAAGTTGAAAGAAGGTTGCGAGTAGTATAACTAGATATGTGTAGGTCGCAAGCTAAAGTATGGTAAAGCGACAAGGTTTTAGGAAGACAGGAGTAATGATAAGAAAGGGAGAGTGAGAAGGTGATGAGAATGGATAAGTCCTTTGGATTAAGCCCATGAAAATAAGAGAGCTGATGGTTTCTCTAAGTTATAGAAAGCTGAGTATAGCCTGAATAAATTCAAAGGAGTCTAACACTAATAGCAGTTAAAATAGATGGAATGTTGCCCTGTAGTAAAATGAAGGTATACTTGTGATAAATGAAGGATGACGTTTGGACCTTCGATTGAGTGATGATTTGAAGGGATTTCATGAATTGTACAGGATTAAAATACCCATGTAAGTGAGTCATATTGAGATGCTATAAAGTATGGTTATTGAAGTACAATATCGCCGCTAGGTGGATCAGGAAAATCATTTCGAATAGTCCTCGATGCAACGTAAGCCCTAGTGGCAATATTTTACGTAAGAAGTTTTAAAATATCAGTGGTAGATTGTAGATCAACATTGAGGTAAATCAACAATGGATGGATAGAAGTTACAAAGTACGAAATGAGATATGGCAATATTCGTAAGTTCGACAAAGTACCGACCGAAGAACTTCAATACACCTATAGATTCCCATAGGGGCATCTTATCAAGTTCTGTATATGTTCCCAAAGTGAGGCCTAAATTTGAGCTAAAAGCTGAAGGGAAGATTCGCATAGGAGCACATGCAAGGAAAACGTCCTATAGGCTGCATGGCAGAAGGTAGCAAGAGTTACGAGATTAGAAGAATTCCGACCACAGACAGTGGTGTGAGAAAGAGGCCTAGGGGGGGGGGAGGGGGGGAATGCCCTGACCTTTGGATTTATTCAAAGAACAGTTGCCTAAATGGCAAGGAGTATATTAAAGTATTCGGAAGACATATGTTATGAAAATGATAAGTGTATCAGTCAACATTCGAGGACAAATATTCCAAAGGGTGGAATGATATTACACACCATGTTTTCGTACGTGAAAGTACGCCATAAGTAAATTGATAGAAGCTCGGAAATGAGATGGTACATCCCGCATTTTCGTATGTTAAACATTTCGTCGTAAGCTAATCGACGTAAGTTCGAGAATGAGATTATTTTGAGATTATAAGCATATGCTATTTCAAACAAGTGATGAGTAAATTCGTGAAGGTGAGAGGGTAAGCAAATCAAAGAAAATAAGTTTTCGTCAAAGTTTATCATGTTGGGATAAAATACGGCCCGAGCTAAAATACCTGGTATTTATGGACTAGTGCCATACAAGGTACCACATGACCATGATAGTGAGGTGTATAAGGTACGTTAAAAGTGAGTAGTATTTTAAGTAATTTAAGATAATTCTTAATTATATGGTTAATCGGATAATTATTAATTTTAGTGGGAGATTAACTATTAATTAAGATGATTGGTGTTTAATTATTAGATAAGGATATCATCCTTAACGTGGCAGAAAGCCACCCAAATATATATATGACTCTTAAGTCATTATTAAGTAGGTGGCAAGACTAAAGGTAAAGGAATGTTGTTAAGCCACCATTCCATATTTAAAACATCTCCAACTTAAGAATCTGAAAGCAACATAAGTCATTATCTTGAGAATCATGAAAGCAATGTATTAGTCATTATCTTAAGAATCATGAAAGCAACATATTAGTTTTAATCTCCATGGACCAGCAACGTTGGATGCTAAGCTTGCTAACAGATTTTTCTCTATTTTGATCTATCGTTACGTGTTTTCGTAAAAGACGTATGTTAGAGGAAATGTCAAGAGAATCGGTTCAGGTATGTTAAGGCTATCCCTTCTTTTTTTTGGCATGATACAAACGAAACGAGCAAAATACGCAACTTTTATTAAATGCCTCTATTCATAGAAATACTAGGGGTGTCTATATTTTTTATTCCCCATGTGAATTATTATTATATCCTCTGTTCATGGGTCTCAGAAAAATACGTATTTGATAAAGTTTATCTGAAAGGCATATTGATTTTACGATATTTCGAGAAATCTTAAGTAATGTGTTCCTTATGTATTTCATGAATTTATACATGTACATTGACCCATGACCAAAATGGCGTTAAATACGCGTGTATTATATGTATATGGGATATGGAACCTGATCAGCTGGTATACAGTGATGATTTGCCCACAGTGGCTGAAATGATATGATGGGATGCTCTCAGAGGCCTGATGATGTTATGAACACATATACCTATGCACGGTATGACATTTATACGCATATGCATGACATTATAAAAATGAAATGATTCATAGAGCTATGCAGACGTACATGTCGAGTCTTTTACTCCATGTTTCTCGCATGTATATTATTTACTGATTTTCATTCCTTACATACTCGGTACATTATTTGTACTGACGTTCTTTTTGCTTGGGGATGCTACATTTCATACCTGTATGTCTCGATAGACAGGTCGAGAGTCCTCCAAGTAGGCGA